AGACTACACAGTGAACGTACCTTGGCCAGTTGAACTACTTAGTGCATCTTGACCACCAAATCGTAATTTTCGAATTCTTACAAGAATCTACATTCACTTAGCTTTCTAGCAAAATATCGAACGTAGAATTCTGGGCAGATATGCTGCAGAAAATAAAGATTCTATAACAACATTTGAAAGATGCACGGATCGTGTTGCAATTTGGTGGTAATTTTGGTTTAAAACGACATGGCTTTTTGTATTATTAGTATTATGGCCTCTAAATCTTAACGTATTAAACAGAATCTGCATTCACTTAGCTTTCAAATGGCGTAATTAACTTAGAAATCTTTGGAGATGTAATGGAGAAAAAAATATTTGCATGAGTCGGTTAGCCCTGTGACCGGTTGGAAGATAAATGGATCGTGTGGCAGTTCAACGGAAAGTAGAGTGAAATACGGCATGACTTTTTTAGCTGTTTAACGTATTGTGGCCGGTAAATCATTACGTACTGAAGAATCTACATCCACCTTGCTTTCAAATGACGCAGTTAACTTAAAAATCTGTGGAGATGCAGTGGAGAAAAAACATTATTTACATGAGTCGATTAGCACTGGTGAATTTATGAAGTTGTCTTGATCACGCTGCGACCGGCCGGAAACACGGCATGAGTTATCAGTTATTTTTAAAACAACTCAAAAAGACCTCAAAATAACTTAGTTTTGATAAAACTGCTTTCCCTTAGCTACAAAATAACACATTACGTTAAAAATCCTCTTCAAAAACAAATATTTCAGCCGATATGAAAAAGCAGTTATACACATGCGCAGCTCATGATGCTGTCCCTTTAATTAATCACAGTTACTTTGCTCATGTTTTTAATTCTGATTTCAAGACTATTCCAAGCATTATCGCATTGGGATCCTGTCCTAAAAATTCCAAAGTTGGTGGACGAAAGCGGTCTTCGAAGGTTTGAAGGTGTACACTGTAAAAGACAGTCAACGTTCAACGTATCTGGAACACGATAATGTGAGCATAGAGAATTCATCTCCGGGATCTAATGTTGCAAATGCAAACAGGCTCCAAATGACAAGAAAGTGAACAAATTTAAAGAACACCATACAGAACAACCGATACAGTACCGCAGCATTTCAACGAAAGGGAACACAAACTCACGTGCGACTTGAAACGCATACTACTCAAACTCTTTAAAGTGCACTTAACCCCCAATTTTTTTTTTTTTTTTTGCTAAAACGAATTTACTTGTTGTTTGAAATACTTCTGCGAAAAAATTTTTGAATGAGGTTAAATCCTCGATTTTCTTTACCCTGACGAAATCTCGAGAGTAGCATCAAAACGCCGCCATTTTGTTTCGCGATCGAGTTTGAGGAGAATGGGTCCAGCCGCTATAGATCTTTTTCACCTAAAGTCATCAAAACTAAAACGCCACGAAAGTTTCTATCCTCATCAGGCATAAGGTGATCTAAATTTATATCTGTTTACAGCTTTTCAGCTCAATAGCGTGCTTGGTTTGGAAACCCGCGCAGTTTGAAGTTCAGCGTTGTGGCGGTGCGTGACTTACCGCTCCGATCGCGTTTGTGGAAAAATGTACACCTATCTAGTGATTTTTAGCCTTTTTAGGAGTTAAAGTGTTAGGAAAAGGGCTTTTGTTAATGTTTGTTGGTTCAGTTCAGATAATCAGTTGCCTAGATAGCCAAAGTAAGTTCCAGATGTGTGCACTATTTTCCGGCCGCCATGTTGGTGGAGCACAAAGCTCCACCAACATGGCGGCTCCATACTAGCGGCTGCATACATTTCGACGAATATCTGAAGTTTGGCAAAACGCAGAGACCCAAAACTTGGAGAAGTGTCTTCTTTACCTATCGCCTATAACATTAAAATTTCTTGGCTTTATCCACTGAATAGTTTTCGATTTAATGTTTCGTTGCGTGACAGTGAAAACCATCTATTGTGAGGTCTACCCAGGAGGGTTGAATATCTCACGTCCTCTCATTTCCTTCAGGATGGTGCAATACACATTGGAAAAGTGTGCAGAAACGCCTTCCAGAAGTGCTATCGGCTGTTGTCACAGATTTAAAGAAAGATATACTGTACAATTTACTGGCGATGATCGGTCAGTGTTACAATAAAGACGTAAATGATGGGTTAATTTTGTCGAACCGACACAAGCGAAGTGATTCTGTGGGAGCCATTGAAGAACTCTCACTGGAATTTGTTCCGCAGACTTCCAAACGCTGTTTTCCAATTTTTTTGCTCAAAGCCAACCAGCAATTTGTATAAATACTACCGACAACCTATGTCTTCCAATCCCGCAGTATTTATAACATAGCCGGCAAAGTTCCGACCATATAATGATATGTAAATAGGTCGCAGCTGTACGCCGCCAACCAACACTTACTTCTCCTTCGATTTAGATAAAAGTCGAAGATTAATCGTTTAGAATTACATGATAACAAAATTGTTAGACTCAGAGTTTTTCGAAGGTTTGGTAATCAGCAGTGTGGCAAACATTGTGTGCAATACTGAACTGCTGAATAGTGTCAAAAATATGACCGCATAACATTATCTGCAGACCGCTTAGGGAACACATCCTTTTCGCTTATCCGACGAATTTCAATACAAACTGTGAGAAAAATTTACATTTGTTATTTGGAGTTACGACTTAAAACGTGTGACAATGTGAAATCGGTAATTGTATGAAATGTTTCCTTCCTCCTTGCATCCTGCAGCTTCAAAAATACTGGACCAAACAATTATACGACTTTCAATCGATCAAAACCAGTGTTTTGGTTGAGCTCTCTATAATCACAGTCAAAGTATGGGTTAGGCCAATTCTTAAATAAAACTGAGTCAAAACAAGCTTTATATCCATTGAGTTAATGGACTAAACATTGAATATAAGCTCGACCTAGTGAAAATCGAAAATCAGAGTCGTAAGCGGAGTCATAAGCTCGGCGGAATCGGAGTCAGAAGAATCGCAACGGATAATAGGAGACTACAAGACATATGTATTTTAATGTATAGGGTTAAACATAATTTGTGCCCGCAGACTGTTTGTAACATGTTTTATACTAATAGCCACACTTATAGTTTACGGCAGAGAGATTTTCATTTACCTAGATTTAACACTGTTACGTATGGAACATTTAATTCGATATCTAGACCCAAGACTATGGAGCAAACTAACAGATAAAGAAAGATCGGCGATAAATCTCAAGCATTTTCAGACCTACGTACGGAGTTCAAGACCTACATCCTAGATGGGACTTTTCTGTATATTATTTTTAGACAGTTTTAGTTAGGTGTCCCCTATTTGACACGGTAATAAAGTTATGATTATGATTATGATTATGATTATGATTATGATTACGATTATGATTATGATTATGATTATGATTATGATTATGATTATGATTATAACGTTTCCATTTCTTCCGATTTCGTTTACGACTCCGTCGTTTATGATCCAGTGAAAACTAGATTGTCGGAGTCGGAAGCAGAAACGGAAGAACTAACCAATCACAAGGCCCGGAAACAAACGTTGTGATTGGTTTATTCTTCCGCTTCTGNGAAGTTATTACACCACATCATGATAAAAACGCACCACGTCAGGACTACATTACAGGACATAATGAAGAAACCACAAAACATAATGGAGTGACTACAACACATAATGAAGAAACCACACAACGTAATGAAGTAACTAGAACACATAATGAAGAAACCACACCAAATAATGATAAACAACCACATAAGAAAGTTATGGCTTTCCATAAAACACCGCGCGTGGGATCTTGTGTTTAGGTGACGAAATTACTATCCAACTGGCTTAAAGCAGTCCTCGAGTTTTCTTCCCTGCTTTTCGTTTGTCTGCTCCTCCACGTATCTTGTTACCCATTCCTAATATACAAGCAGCTAGTCCGCAAAGAAGTATTCCCCGTCGTCGCTTAAAATATTGCAAATTGCTCTCTAAGCTCTAAGCAGTGAGTTCACAGTCGTCGAAAGTGCTCGATCGAAGTCTCGATCGAAACTTCACTCTGACTCCAGTGACAAAAAAGAAATGATTTTGAAACAAAACTTGGACGTTTTTAGTCCCAAAAATATATTGGAACGATTAGTTTTGTTTTCCATCTCTCGAGAAATACAGAGATCTGACTGAGGCGCTATTGTGTTTGGTTCCTGGTTAGACGTCATCAGCCACCGCCGCCCCAGACTCCCTAAACGCGGTCGCGCAACAGTTCAAGTGCGACTTTCAAAGGGCATAGAAAATCGAGCATTCAAACAAATTCAAAACTTTTTTCGCCCAAATGCTTGGAATGGCAAGTGGACTCGTTTTTGCGAAAATAATTTTTGGGGTTAGGTGCACTTTAATCGTAAAATAAGATTTAAACCGACGTAGCCGTCATGAATCACTTCATATAGACAGGATCAAAACCATGCAACCACATGATATCAACAGTCTGTCATGATCAAAAAATGTAGCAAAAATACTGAATTACACCGGTTGATATGTACTCCTATTCCAAAAATAGTTTCGTCCTCATTAGCCATTTTGATTTTGAATATCATGAGTCAAAATGAAACTTTTTAAACATCTTTTATTTACAACATTTTAGGGACATTCCGTAGATTTCTTAATTAAATCTCCCGTCCCCCGATAAACATGTGGGTCAGTTTTACTATCCAAGATTGTTATTGGAAAACTGATTCTGTCCTCGTTTGTTTTTGCTGTTTTTGTTATTTGTTGTAAAAATTACTCAAAAAGGCTAGGGCTTGGAATGCGTTGCTTTCAGTAAAAATGTACAGACTCGTACCTAATCGTATCTTAAGCGAAACTTTTAAGACGCAGGATTGTAAAAAGGAGTATCTTATCACAGGCAGTCGATGACATAGGATATGAGACCGCTGAGGGCGAGTCAGGCAGCCACGACATTTCGCCCAATCAGCTCGATTTCCAAACTTTAGAATCAATACAAAACTGGAATACTTTCTAATTGTAGGCCGGTGCAAGACTCAGGGGTGTAGATAGTGAATTCAACAAAGTTTGTTGCTTTATTGATGGATGCAATCTTCCCGAGAACTTTGGACTTCAGCTGGAGCAAGTGTTAGAAGACGATCGCATGGTTCTTCCAGGGGCCCACAAGCAATATCGACTGAAGCCGAGTGAGGGATTTAAGTCTCAGGTCTGCATATTGCTTTCTCACTTTTTTTTTATATATATGTATAAACGTATATGTTGTCTACGTCAGGCTAAGTGGCTCATACCGCAAAATTTATCCGACTAACCCACCCAGAATGGGATACAAGTCCATCGCAGGGGTACTCATTGATTAGCAAAGCTGGGTAGAGAGAGACGTAGTGAGAGAGTTTAAAAGTGCCTTGCCTAAACTAGAATACAAACACAATGGCCCCAGCCAGGGCTCGAACCCAGACTGCTCGATCCGGATTTCTGCACGCTAATCATTAAACAGCCGCGTCATCCACAATAGTCGCGCATAGGTTAAACCATAGAACCTTTTTTGTAACAATACCGAGGCTTGGCCAAACTTTTGAGAACGTGATTCGAAATTAGCCAGGTTGATACGTTTCTCATCAAGTTCTAACTACTGCAATCGTTGAATATTGTCCAGTAGCACTTTCTAATAACAATAATACTGTCAAAAGTTCAAATGAGGACTGAAACTACTTTGAAATTGACATGCGGGGTACCTATAAAAATGTACCCCGCATGTCGGCCAAAACAGTCGAGAACAAAGTCAACGCAACTTGGAAAAACAGCTGCCTACAAAACGAGTCTCCTCCTTTTTGTTCGAAAAAGCTTCATCGCCTCAAACACCGACCTCCCCAGGTTCTACTCTCTGATCAAGACCCACAAGACCTGCCCAGATAATAAAATACGACCCATTGTATCTAACCAAAAGAAGATGAGGTGATCTAACACCGATGGACCAACCTAACGCATCTCATGGCTGCTCGCCAACGCCTTTAAACCAGTGTTGAAGGACGTCCCCGCACATCTAGAAAACAGCCTCGAACTCATTAAGTGCAGCCGGCGATTTCACCACCAACAAAACGCTGCCATATCCATGCACCCTGGAAGTGGTATTCCTGTGAGCTTCAATGCGCATCACCAACGCCACCGATAGAATTCAGAACCCGCCTCTCCAAACAGGACATAATAGATCTTCCCACGGTTACGCTAAACAACATATACTTCTCGTTCAATGGTCAGGTTTTCCGCCAAAAAAAGGCCTACCTATGGGTTGTAGCATATCAGGCATTCTGGCCATCCTATACATGGACAGACTGGAAACCATCGCCCTCTCCTCACACCTATCGATAAGCCGCTATCGAAGATATGTTGACGACATTTATCTCCAAACAACTGGTGAAAAAATGCCAGACCAATTCCATCATTCAATGAACAATCTACACCCCAAATTGAAGTTTAAAATTGAGGAACCAGAAATAACACCCAATGGCCTCTCACTGTCACTACTTGATTTCAAAGTCACTATCTCCAAAGACGGTAAAAGCTCTTTAGAGTTTTACCAAAAACAGCAAAGAAACCACTATTCTTTTACCACCAATCAACTCTACCCAAGAAAGCAAAGATCAACTTCATTCGCAATGAGCGGAAACGCATCGAAGATAAATGCTCTGCAAAAACGACAAGCACAAAGCACCAAAACATGTTTGACGACATCCTCCGTCTTAATGGTTATCCAGAGAACATTATAGACTAAACAATGCACCCCAAGAGCCATCAAAAAGACTCTCGACCTCTCAATACAGAATGGTCGTACCTGAAGATTCCATATATTTCCGAACGGCTCAACTACAGGATCATTAGCATTTTCCGAAAAGAGGGCATACCAGGACGTGTCACGCACAAATCATACACCCTCAGACGAGCTCTCTCCTCCAACACCACGGAGCGGACATGTACTAGGGACAACTGCCCCATCTCCAGCACCAAATTGTGCTCACTAAGAAAGGCTGTTTTTCAAGTCACGTGCAACAACTGCAACCAACATTACATCGGGAGCACTGCACGTTTAATTCAAAGTGACGATCGTGTAAGAGAACACCTCAATAATGAAAACTCCTTCGTAAAGAAACACATCTCCACATGCCAAAACTAAGTCTTCAAAGGCTTTGAAATCAAGACCGTTATATTGTACTCGAAAATGACCCCGCAAATCAACGCCTACTCGAAGCATTTTACATACGAAAATGGAAACCTACCCTCAACTCCCAAAAGGAATGCAGCGAATTCGCGGACCTTTTGTTCCAATGACTATTTCAGCATATCTAGAGAGACTCTTTGTACAATGACACTCGCCCACCAGACCATTTTACTCGTTTCTTATTCATAGTTGTATCTTATTATTTGTTTTATACATTTCGCATTCCCATTTTTTTCTTTACAATTGTACATGTGTATAAGCCTTACGCGGAATATTTTTCTTAATCGTGATGATGCCGTGGATCGGCGAAAGTTTGGATTTTAAAATATTTTAACATCAGTTTCACAGTAGTTTCAGGCCTTATTTGAACTTTTGTCAGTATTATTATCTAAATACTGTATTCGATTAGCTTTTCCAATTCTAGAAAAATAAAATATAAATTTGAAATATCTGAGTAAACACGCAGTTCAACTGAGCTCGAAATGCTTGATCGCATGTTATATATTACATCAATTTTCTTTGTTTAAATTACCAAACTTGTACAACGTGGCACTTCCTGAAAAATGTGGAGCTTTTGATAAGGGAAAAAAAGTTTCAAACAATAAACGTCAAAGTAATTAAAAAAATAAAAATGAGATGATATGGAAATTTGAAATAATTCTTCGCGGAAGAAAAACACTTCTCGAGTGAAACCCTCGCACGTGATTTTTGGCAAAGTTTCAGTTAAAAACCGATAACAAAGCCATCGATGGATCGAATTATACCACCACCTTTGTTGCAAACCAAATAGTCTTTAATTTGGGGCACTTGTTCGACTCCAAACGCGAAAGATCAGTTTATCGCTTTGGAAGCCATTCTGTTTCCAATGGTGGGCCCTCTCGCGAAATACCCTGGTCAGCGGAATTACCACCCAAAAATTGTTTACGACCCATCGACTGACTGACTGTCTGCCTAACGGACCGAGCGACCCAGCTAACTCCTATAACTCATCCCAGCTACACTACGCTAGCTATCATTCGTTAAAAATGAACATTCTTTTTTGAGTGTATCACTTGACGTGTTTTAACACGTCAAGTGATACAAGTGTTACATGTAGATTTTAAAAAATCTACATGTAACGTAATTTGCTCAGGAGTGCGTTTTTTTTAAAATAACAGACAAGGACATTTGCTTGTGATGAGATATTGATCACCAAAAAGCACCTCAGGGGAGTGTTCAATAAAGTCCCATCTTATCTCTCATCTTTCAACTGTTTACATAAACTTTATTGAAAAAAAATCGATCCCTCTGAGGCAGAGTGTAACTAGAGCGCTGAAGCGGAAATCATTTCAAAAGCGGAACCCAGTGATTGTAGTAACTTTGTGTAGTAATGAGGCCTTCCAAGGGGTTTGAACGACAAGCGACATTGCGTCAAAATGTGGCGACAATTTGTTACCAAAGTACCGACAGCCGACAGAAGTTGACATGAAAGGGGCGACAAT